CCTCCCGCTCCTCACCGCCCTCGTGCATCCGTCCGCCTACTGCGTTCACACACCGTCCACGGAAGAGAGAGGCATTAATGGTCCTTTTGTGAAACCCGAATTGTGAACACCGTTCGACCGCGGCGACGGACGACGATCTTATGCGCCGGCACACAAAGGTGCCTTCTCTTCGGTGGATCTCAAAGGAGGAGGGGTCTCCGTGCGCGCGAACGTGCGAGAGAGAGAAAGGAGCGTCGGTCGAGTCGCGTTGTAAAAAGCAAATTGCCGTTCCCAAGATGTTTCCATCGTGATTGAATCGAATTTCTAATCGTATTCGAATAATACGGATGTAATTCGGCCAACCGTGCGTTATCGGCGTGCCTTGTCGCCGAAAGATATGAGAAAGAGAGAGAAAGAGAATTGCGGTACAAAGAACATGCGTGTTTCCCTGCTTGGAACGCGCTCCGAGCGTAATAATAATCGCTGTATTTAATAATTTCTTAACTATATAAATGTCACACACAGGATATACGCGCGATTGCGACCCCCCCCCCCCCCCNTACTCTACGAAGCCGGGAAAAAAGAATCATATATGAAATTTGTCCGTATACGACTAAAAAGTACTGTTGGTTACAAATTACATGCAAATACAAATTATATGCAAGTACAATCGAAGTAAATGCTCCTGGCTACTTGCGCTTCTGACAGCACACAATGTCGACAATTTGATTAAATGGCGTAACATCATTTTTTCCGCACAGACATGTATGGATCATACGTGTAACCACATATATGGGCAAAATTCATATGTGATTTTATATAATTATATATAATCATATATAATAATTTTTCCCGGGAATGTGCCGGAATTTCGGCCAGCGACTGTGCCTCCGAATACGAATTCTCTCTTTCCGCCTGTTTCCACGACGACGCTTTGTTTCGGACAAAATTACGTGCCAGAAATGGATTTAATTGCGCGTTAAGTCTAATTTCGCGTAACGGTTGAAAATGCGTATCAACGCGTAATCGCGATTAAAGGATTTCCGATACAATTGAGCTGGATTTGATTAAATTTCACGTCCGTGTGATCTGAATTGTGTGAAACGAAACGTCATGTTGGAAATGTCATATTTTACGAATACCTGTGGATATGTAATATTTCCCGCATACGCGCGCGCACCGCTCGAGCGGTTGGTCGCACACTGTTTCGTCTCGTAATGTTTTATATACTGCGTGTAATAATGATAACAATGTTATTACTATTTTAAGTATATCACGCGCGCGAATCTTGGAGGGTGCGTGAAATTCGGGCGTTTTCCTCCGGTGAATTGTTTCACGAGCGTTTCACTTACAGACATTGGCCGGAACATAAAGCGAACGTAAAATGATCGTCGAGAGGATACTGCGTGCCGACGGAATGTCATTTTCGTTTTGCGAGCTGTTCTGCGCGTTACTTTTTTCAATTCGGAATCCTTCGAACGTATAAAAAAAATCAACGTGTCCAATTTAAACGTAACTTGGTGTCCACAAGTGCCCAGTGAAACTACGCGTTTGGATCCGAGCCAGATCGTTTAGAATGTGGTAATTTTAGCAACTTATACGCTAAGACAGGAATGTAATTCCTTGTACGTATGTATTTGGAGGAGTGAATGAGATTTTGCATGTGTTTGTATGTGCGCGAAGTGTGTGTGTGTGTGTGTGTGTGTGTGTGCGAGAATGTGCGTGCGTGCGAGGAAAAAGAGAAAGCTACGAGAGAAGAAGTGGAAGAGCAGCGAAAGAAGGAGGTAACATTCGGTGCCTTTGCCAACACAAATCTAATGTATAGTGATATATACAATGTACAATGTACTACGTACAACGAAAGTCGCCTACGCCGTAAACTGCAAACGCGTGCGAGCGATCAATCTCCTGTTATTTTTTACGTTATCAGATTATACCTTGTATAAGTATCTATATTTTTAGATTTATATGACAGTTAAGCAACGTTGTAAATTATATACTAAGAGAAATGGAATAAAAAATATTAAAAATGGCGATGGAGAGTGATCGATTAATTTGTTCAACCGCGCTGCTCGCTTTGAGCCGTAATAAAAATTGCCGTTAGGAAATGAGACGTTTGCCCGACCTGTCGTTGAATTACGCCGCGTGAAAACAAAGACAACTCTTTTCAGTTTATGCGCGCCATTCGGGAATGTAGGAGGTCATTTAACCCGTCGTTCAGTCGTAGTATTTGAAAATTAACAGGTCATTTAACTTGCCGTAGTTGGCCGTGGTGCTCGAAAATAAAAGTTCGTCTAATTTACCGTTGAGTCATACCACGACCTCATTTCTTTTTTTCTTTATTGAAAATAAATGGTGTACAAAAATGTGTACATGGATCTAGGATCTAAGCCTATCCGACCTATGAGTGTTAGAGTATTGCATTTGGACATGGTAGTCTTTACATATTTTGATGTCGGTAAATAAACAATTATTATAGTTTTAAGTATCAATTGAATAAGTGTATAACTAAAGAGTACAGTGCTCGCCGGGGAGCGGATAATGTTTTAGCGATGAGAGGGGAAAGAAATGAAGAACCTCATGTTTTTTTTTATTGCAAGTAAAGGGTGTACAAAAAGGAGTACAAGGTCTAGGAACTTAGCCTATCCGTGAGCGCTATAGTATTACAATTTGTCTGTGTGGATTACATAGTTTTGGTGTCGATGAATAAACAAATTTTATTAATAGTCTTATAAATTAATTGTTTGAGTGTATAACTGGTGGGGGTTGTATACGCCGGGGGGGAAATTATGTAATAAGCGATAAAACGGGAGAAAAAATAAAGAGGAAAGGAAGTACGATTACAAATCCGCTATCGCTTACTATCACGCTTGTGTTTGTCGAGAGTCACCAAAGGAAAAAAGAAAAAGGAAAGAAAGATAATTCCTTATGGAGTAAATTGTAGGGGTTTCGGTGACTCTTGAGTTACGAGTTAAACGATCTTCGCCTGGTACAAAATGAAAGGAAAAATACATATAAAGAAGAAAAGAGTAAGAGAGTGACTTAAAGAGAGGGGGAAGCGCATACTTAGATTATTGTATAAATCACACTCGAACTTATGTGCCTTGGTTACGAATGTAGATGGAGTGGATACATCAGAGTGGGGGTAGCTTATATAGTCTTAAGATGTTTCTGACTTAGACCCAGTGGAACACCTGCAATTAAACTCACAGGAAAAGGTTATATGAATATGCTGATTCCGTTTATAAACTGGGCTAATAAGATATAGCTTTTCAGATCTTTGGTCGCTAGAAGGGAGTGGACCGGCCAAGGCAGGGTACGAAAGGTGGACACTCCGTTTCGTATCAAGATATCCCTCTGATCCTCGAAGCGAGGGCATTGCCAAATTACATGATCCGCCGACTCGAGTGTATTGCAATGAGGACAATCGGGGGAGTCTACAATTCTTAAATTAAAAAGACTCATTCAAAGAGGTATGCCCCGATCTGAGTCTGCAGATCGAAACCACCGTCTTTCGATTAAGCTTACATTCCTCAAACCAAGGTCTGCGTCCGGGGAAGTGGTAGTTCTGGATGAACAGGCTACCTTTATTAGGGGAGTTTTCTAGTATCCACTTCTCGAAGTCATCAAATAGTCTTTTTTTTCAGTGTCCCTTAAGGTCGCAAGGATGGCATCTAAAAAGGGTGTTTTTTCCCCGGATGGATGCCTCCTTGGTTTTCCTATCGGCTAGTTTGTTTCCGGAAATGCCTATACGAGCCGGCACCCACACGAGAGATATTTCGAAACCTCGAGATTCCATTTCTCTGATGTCATCTTTTATATTGCTGACGTGAGGGTTGGCTTTCTCTGCAATATCAATTATGTTTAGAGCTGAGAGTATCGATTTGGAGTCGGAGAAGATTCTTATTTTTCTGTAGTTGGAGTAACGAGCTGCGTACAGGGCTTCTCTGATACCCAAGGCCTCAACCGAGAAGATCGGGAGGAAGGCTGGTGCCCTGAAGAGGCTGGAGTATTTATATATTCTTCATTCAAGGATGAAAAGGCAAGTCCAGAGAAGGGATTATCCGGGATTTTGGAACCATCGGTGAATAAGTGTAGATGCACGTTATCAGAATTACAGAAAAGCTCGTCCATACATGCGTTCGGGTCACGTGAATCCCTCAAGTATTGACTTGAGGTTAAGTCGATCTTGGGTGAGAAGGTAAAGGATTGGAAGAGGAGGGAGCCACTATAGGGTCGATCCTCTGTATAGAGATTTGTAAAGAAATGAATAGTGTCCTGGTAGCACATGAGTAACTTGGGAAGGGTGGAAAAAATCGAACGAAGAGCGGAGTTCTCGAGGAGATCTATGGGGTCATCCAGGTATTGGTTTAAAGGGTAGCCATCAAGGACTAAGAACCGCGACCTCAATTTCTCGCTGAGTACAGTGGCGGCTCGTAGCGGAGACTTTAGAACTAAAATAACACGCAACCGACACTCGGAGCATACTTAGTCAAGACTAGAACCAGCTCAGCCAAGACTCGAACTCTACTTAGCCAGGACACGAACCTCCTTGAGTCAAGATTCGAACCTTCTTGAGCCAAGACTCAAACCCTATTGGGTTCTGTAACAGTTTTGCCACATCGCCGCTGGATGGCGCCAGGTAGACCGTTGAACTGGTTCTACGGATAGGTTATTATTTTCAAGCATAGTTCCAAAAAGTCCGCTACGAGCCGCCACTGCTTTTAATGGCAAATCAAAGTCACGGAACGACCCAACGATAAGCCGGATGAACTTTTTATCATCGAACAACTCCAATTTAACAGTATGTCAAACAGACTTTTATGTTACTGTGGCTCAACGACAGATAAAATGACTTTTACCTTCGAATGACGTAGATAAACAAAAAAAAAATCAGAAAAAGCATAGCAAAGGGTGAGATAAATTATGTCGAGAGTATAATGAAGATTTAAATATTTATAGTTTCAACGAAACACCGAAAGCCTGCGTCGGAAGACGTG